TTTATAAAATTATTTCTAAATTTATAATATTTAGAATATATCATTCTGTATTTTATAAAAATATTTTCTGAAATTCTTTCATATGAACTCCATTAATTGGACAAAAAATATAAGATTAAAATATAAAATAACAAAAATTATTAATCAAAAATTATAAAATTATAATTGGAATCATTTTAAGATGTTATATGCTGATTATTTGTTTATTCTTTAAATTCATATAAATGAAATATTAAAATATTTATAAATGTTGTAATTATAAATGTTTTTATATTATTCTTATATAATTTCTTATTATATTTTTTTTTTTTGTAATTGATCAACATAAAAATAAGTATAATAATATTAATTATTTACTATTTTTGTATTGAATCATTTTTATATATGATTTCTTATATATGATATTTATTTCCTTGATATTAAATCTTTTCTGAATCAACAGTTTATAAAATTCAATAATGAAAAACATTTTCAATTCTATTAAGATTAATACATTTTTCATAATAATACATAATATTTACATTTATCACTTGGTTTTAAAATAAAATATTATAACGACAAAATTTTAGAAAATCAAGATGCTGTTCATAACCTCTATTTTCATTAATGAAGAATTTCAAAATCATCTACAGATAGATCTTTATTAAAATGACTTAAAACATGTTCATGGAAATCTGCAAATGTAGTAGTTCTTCCATAAAACATTCCACATAATGGGCAAATTTTATTGTCTTGATCTGTATTATCTGCTGAATTAGAACATTTTTCTGAAGATAAACTCGAAGTTTGAAGACTGGTTTGAGTTGCACTATGTTCTTTAATATTTTCATTAAAATTGAACTGAGTACTTGCTTGACACATTTTTTTATTTGCATTTGTACGACAATTATTACACATTAATCCTATAATTATATTTAAAATTAACTTTTTTAGAATAATTTTATTTTTTAATATTATTTACTTACCTTCTTTCTTTTTTTTGAAATTTTGCAATGCTCTTTTTAATTTTATTTGTTGTGTTAATAAACTGTTTTTCATTTGCGACAATCTAATATCATGTTGTTTTAATAATTCTAAATCTGTATCTGAGTCTTCTGGATAAGTAAAACCAATATTTCGTAAATCTAATTCAGTATTATTTTGAATTTCAACCATCTAGATAAATAATTATAAAATAGAAATAATTAAAATATATAAAATTTAATTCATTTTATTATTTTTTACAATTACCTCTGCATATTGCTGTTCAAGATCTGATTTTTCCAACATAATACTATTTATAAGTCTAAGTGATATTTCCTCTAAGCTTTGTTCTTTCTTACCTGTATTGAAATTATATTAAAATATTATATATTAGAATATATATATTAGAATATTATATAATTTAATATATAAATTTATATAATAATTTTTTATAATAATTTAATTGAAATTTAAAATTTAAATAAATTATATTTAATAACAAACCATTGTTTGTAACTAATGTACATTGTTGATTGTTATCTTCTTTAGAATTAAAAATATCTCGAAAACTATAAGAGACAATGTCTGATGCTTGTACTGGAGAATGTTGTTTAAGCGTATCAGAGATTTTTGTCAATTGACTTCCTAAAGATTTATTAGTTTTTGTTAATTTACTTAATCTGTTCCATAATTGGCGATTTTCTGCTGCTACCATAAAAACTTGATGAGTAAGTTGAGATTTTTGTTTTTTAAGTTCTTCTATCTTTTCCTATAAATTAATATACATTAAAATATAAAATATACTTATATATCATCATATATATTATGGAAACCTTTAAACTTTGCACAATAGTTTTTTCATTATTATCATTAATTTTTATAATCATTGCAGATTCATCTTTTCCACATTCAAGTCTTAAACACATATTCTCTTCTTCAACAGTTGCTAATCTTGTTTCTAATTGTCGACAACGTTCATTCATAGTTTTAAATGCAACTAATAAGGCATAATAAGAACTACATTTTCCATTATCTGTATTTTCTAATTGTTCCATGTCATTCATATTGTAGTAATAAAATTAGTAAAAGTGAAAATACAATTTCATAATCAGAAAAATTTTTCTAATAATATAATTTTTCTAATACATAAACAAAATAAATTCTTCTTAAAAAATTACATTTTAAAAAAAAACATTCTATGAATAAAAAATAAATTAATAAATAATAATTAGGTTAATAAAAATGTCACAATAAAATTATTAAATTAGGTTAAACTGTCATACATTTTAATGTTTTGAAATTATTATAAAATATGATTTATAATTATACTCAGATTTTCACATAAATAAGATATAAGATAAATAACTTAATATCTATTCACTATCATTTAATATAAATTTGCGTCACACAATCCAAAAAAGCCCCCATTATCATTCTTGTGTCATTTCCAATGTTATCGATTTAACGCACAATAAGATTATAATATTAATAATGGGTGAAAAGAAAATCAAATGTAAGTATGAAATTATAAGATATAAAATATTTTATAATAATATAAATAAAGTATTATCACAAATGAATTATAAAACAATTGTGATGTGCAATGCATCTTTATAGAAATTTAATCATATGTTTTTAAAAACTCTTAACTTCCGATGTTTTGATTTAGTTCTAAGAATTTTTATATTACCAACTATATAATAGAATAAATACCAATATAAATTAAACAGAAAGCTGATTTATCCATTATCATCTATCTCCAATGATGATCCAATTGAAGTTCCACTATTAAAATATCATTATTCTGTAATGCTAAATAACATATAAAAATCATGCATTTATTTTAAATGATTGTTTTTCGCAATCTTTCAAAGTGTAACTAATTCGAATTCTCTTATATATCGCTCTATAATGACATATATATAAAAACATTATTTTTATTTTGAAAAAGAAAAAAGAATAAAAAATGAGAAATATAATAAAACAATTTTATTGAAAAAATTAAATTTTAATATTACAATTCATTAATAATGAAACTTTTAATTTTAAAAACGAAATGGTATTAATTGCATTTAAAAAAATTATATAAATCATTTTTTATTGATGCGGTGTTCACTTCACATAGAATCTTTTCTAACTATTATACACTTTTTTTAATATTCAACAATCATAATATTTTTTATTCTTTTAATTTTTTTTTATACTTTTTAATATCTTTAAGAAACAAGACGAAGCACACAGAATTAGAAGAAATCAATATCAACATTCTGGAGTAGACCATTTAATCAGACACCAAATGATAACAATATTATTATTCTGCGAAACTAGAAGAAGAAACTAAGAATAAAGCGCCAAAATCAAAGAGATCGAATATAAAAGCAAAATAAATCACATGTATTGTGATAGTAATAAATAATGGACAAAAAATTTATGAAAATACGATTACACTTCATTTATTTTAGAATGCAATAATTAATCGATGTTAGTGACAGATATCTATGATATTATTGTTTGTACCTCAAATGTACAATATGAAAAACCATAGATATAAAAAACAATTATAGTTAATATAGTATTAAAATTAAATTTTATGAGAAAATTATAAATAAATTATATATAGTTATATATAACTACAGATACAAGCGAAATTAATAATGACATATAAATTAGTAATGAGATGAAAATATTAATATATAGATAGAAATATTAATAAATATTTTAAATCATTTTAAATTCATATTATAAATATATATATATAGTAACAAATTCGAATCATTTTCGAATGATTCGAAAATCTTAAAAATTTTTATTGTTTTGGAAATAAATATTTTTATTATTTCT